GGATGGTAAGAGAAGGTTTCCCTGAGAAAGTGGGAAGTGAGAGTTGAGGGAGAGGGAGACGTAGGCAAGGTAGGGCAGGCATGGAGCGAGCACAAGAGCGGCCCTGGCGGGGCCCAGGCTGAAGCTCCTGAGCTCAGTGACCCTGAAAGAACGCAGAAGGGCCGAGACTCGGAGATACCGCTGGAAGGTGAGAGCAGACGTTGCAGGGCCATGTGGATCACACTGAAAACTCTGACTCTCATTCTAAGAAAAATGGGAAACCGTGGTTGAATTTTAAAAGGTAGTTTCTTTATTTCCATTGTTAACAGATCGCATAATTTGGAGACTGGCTGGGAGAAGGCAAGACTGCATGCAGGGATGGCAGAGACCTTTGCAAAAGTCCCAGAGAGAAGTGATGTTTCCCTCAAGAGTAGGGCAGCATCTCCAGCAAAAAGAAGTGAAGAGATTTGACAACCATTTAAGACTTAGCAACTGGTTGTATCGGAGGTGAGGAAAACGTTGTCAAGGATGGTTTCTAGATTTCAGGCATAGCAATCCTAGGTTGCAGTGCTGTTTACTGAGAATTAACACTGTGGGAGCTGCAGCTTGTGCTGGCTGGTGATGTCTAAGAACCCTCGAAGGTGAAGAAGTTGGACGGACAGGTGGACACACTGGTCTAGAGATCAGAGGCCGGGACTAGACTCAATACAGAGCATGTGTAAGCACCATATGCAACCATAGGGAAGGTGTCAAAGGCTTCCTCCCCTATTAATTTTTTCAGACTGGTTCATAATATGTTAGGAAAAAACACTCTGAGTCTCTTATTCCATTAGGGCAAAGGGAGCATGTAAAAGGTGCTATGTAAGAACAAATAAGGGGCTTCTCAAAAAAGTATTGCTGTTTTAAACAAGAATTCAGAAATGGAACCAGACATTTATTAAAACTTTATCTGACCTGACAATGAGGAAAGAAGGGATGATTTAGACTACCTTTATAGGAAAAAAACTGAAGTTGTACCCAACCACCTCATGTTATACATAAAAACCAATTCTGAATAAATTAAAGACCTAAATGCCACAAAACTTTTTAATGGAAAAAAAGGCAAATAACGACCCTGCAATGTATTTCCTAAAAAAGACACAAAAGGCACAAACCATAAGGCAAAAGAAAAACACAATTCACCCATACTAAAAAGTAGACTTCTGCCCAACAACAAAACATCAAAAATGTGAAAAAACAACAAACCGAGACAAGAGTTTTGCAACATATAACTAGCAAAGTCAATTCCTATAAGTCAATAAAAAAAAAACACAGAAGTGTAGTCTTGCAATGTTTTGTTACTTGTGTGTTGTTTTTGCAAAAAAAAGAAAAAGGGAGAGAGAGAGGGGGGCAGGCATATGACAACACAAGGAAGGGCAAACCACTAGGTAGCATGCTACTGGCCAAGGCGGGAACAGACACTATCCTGCCTGGCCAGTAAGGGCGTAAGTGATGTCAGCCTCTCTGGAACACAATTTGCCAATATCTATACAAAAAACTTTGACTTGGCAATTGCACTTACAGAAATTATTCAGAGATAAACTCTCACATATACAATAATATCAGGCAGGGACAGGCTCTGTTTCTAGTTTCTAGTAGCATAAAAATAAAACAACTTGAAATGTCCAATAATAGAAGTATAAATAAATGACACTCATACAAAGAAATCTGAGATAGAGTCATATAAACTAATAAGGAACTATCACTGGGCTAACTGTTATGTGAAAAAAATCAAGATGCGAAACAGAATACTTAAAAAAGGAGAGTGGACTAGAAGGAAGAGGATGAAAAATATTTATGCCTATATGTGCAGACTATCTCTGCAGGGTACACAAGCCTCTGGCAAGAAGACTAAGAGACTGGGGCTAAAAACTACGTTACTTCACCCTTGTAGATCAGTCTTACAGTAGCTTTAATTTGTTTTTTAATCACATGCGTATGCATTACCTTCTCAAAAAATAAAAGCTCCTGCTGAGCAAATTTCAGCCATTTCCAAAAACATTTTTAAAGAGAATGGTTAAACAAATGACAAGTACATTCATACTTATAAATACTGAATTCAGAAGTTGAAAAGAACAAAGCAAATCAATACATATTAATATAGAATTGGTGCAAGATTTCTTTTTAGAATAATGAAAATGGTCTAAAATTGATTGTGGTAATGGATACCCAACTCTATGAATATACTAAAGTCGCTGAACTGTATAATTTAAATGAGTGAATTACATGGCATGTGAATTTATATCTCAATGAAGTGATTAAAAATAAATATGGGCTGGGTTTGGGAGGCTGAGGCAAGAGGATTGCCTGTGCCCAGGAGTTTGAGACTAGCCTGGGCAATATGTTGAGCCTTCATCTCTACAATAAATTAAAAAATTAAGAAAAAAAAATTAGCTGAGCATGGTGGTACACACCTGAAGTCCCAGCTACTTGGAAGGCTGAGACAGAAGAATTGTTAGAGTCCATTAAGTCAAGAATGTGGTAGCCGTGAGCATGTCACTGCACTCTAGCCTGGGCAACAGAGTAAGATTATGACTCAAAAAAAAAAAAAAAAAAAAAGTATAGTCACGTAAGGCTTAATGATGGGGATATACTCTGGGAAATGGTCATTAGGCAAGTTCATATTTGTGCAGACATCACAGAGTACACTGACACAAATTTAGATAGTATAGTTTACTACATACCCACGCTATAAGGCTCCTAGGCTACAAACCTGTACTGGATGCTACTATATTTAATGCCATAGCTAGCTGCAACACAACAGTATCTATGTATCTAAACACAGAAAAGGTATAGTGAAAATATGGTATTATTATCTGATGGGACCACTGCAAAGGCGTTTCATCATTGACCCAGATGCCACTATGCTGCACATGACTGGATATATACATTTCAATATAAATTCAGGTCAGGCACGGTGGCTCACACTAGTAATCCCAGCACTTTGAAAGGATGAGGTGGGAGGAATGCTTGAGCCTTGGAGTTCAACATCAGCCCAGGCAACATAGCCAGACCACATCTCTACAAGAAATAAAAAAATAAATTAGCCAGGCATGGTGGCCTGTACTTGTAGTCCCAGCTTCTCGGGAAGCTGAAGCAAAAGGATCACTTGAGCTCAGGACGCTGAAGCAAAAGGATCACTTGAGCTCTTTTTCCCTACATTAGTTTTTTATAAATAAAGTTTTATTGGAACACAGCCACAGCTGGTAGTTTACATACTATTCTATGGCTGCTTTTATAATACAACAGCAGAGTTGAGTACTTCTAGAAGAGATCGGCCCACAAAGCCTAAAATATTTACCATCCATTTGGCCTTTTACAGAAAAAGTCTGCAGACACTTAATATTTAAAAAAAAAAATTTAAGTCTATAGTTTAAAAACAAAACAGGTACAGACTATATTTATGTTCAAAAACTACACACAACACAACAGAACTTCTATGAGTGCATGTAATAATATTAAGAAACACTCTAGAAGGATAAGCTCCAAACCCAATCCACGGCCATGGTTAATTCTGGGCAGTGGCAGGCAGACAAGGATTGGGGACTGAGCTGATCAAAGGGGATTTTGGCTTTATCTGTAATTTATTTGAAGATTTGATTTAAGAAGACAATATTTATGTATTGCCTGAATAACAGAACTTTTTTCCTTTTAATTAATTTCTTTAAAACTGAGGCTGGCAGAAGTGGAAAGTAGCAAGACTGTGGTGGACTAGAAACTGTGAGCTCTGATCTTGGTTGTAATTTTACTAAGCACTGCCAGAATTGTATGTGTTTTGATCCTACACCCACCTTTTGTTTTTTTCAGATCTTCTTCCTGGCATTCCACTTACATTTCCCCTTCATTAAGTTCAGAATTAGGGTTTTCACATTGTAAGGTGAAGTGGTGTGGAAGACAACTATAAAGTAGGCATAGGCCAGCAAATTTCTGAGTTCTGTCAACAGTCAACTCTTTCAAGCACACAAGTCCCATTTCAAGGACCACAGGACACGTGACTGCTTCTAGTCTCAGGTTTAGCGCCGTCTTGCAATTAGTCCATGCTGACAGACTTCATATTCATGTAGTCACATAATTCACATGACCCTCATGATAGCTGCGGGACTTCCAAAATTTTTTTGCACTTCAGAATACAAGCAAGTCTGGCTAGTCTTGTAACAAAGTACACCTTAGGAATGAAATTAAATAACTGCTAATGAGCAATTCAGGTTCTAAAAGCTCCCATCCAAGTTGCTTGACACCATCATTTATAGAGATAATGTGGGTACAAATGATAAAATTTATATACTCCAACTTGAGGAAAATAAAGTATACTGAAATTCAACGGGAGGAAATGGTAAATTAGTTTAGGACAATGATTAGTTTAAAAACCAGTTTTTCCAAGCAAAACATAAAGTGTCAAATGTCGTTTCCAATTTCACTATTTATAAAAAATCAGATCTCAGATAACCTATCAGGATACCGACAAACTATGTACAGTTTCTAGAAAAGGTAAGTGCTCTGAAACAAAAGAAAGCATCCAAAATAAAAAATAAAATAAAATAAAAGATAGGTAAGCTTAAAGGCTAGGATGGTATTAGGCCGTGTCTGAAGGACCTGTGCTAGGTCTAAGTGCTTGAGCAATTATCAACAAGGGAAACTTGTGCAATTTTCTAATTATAGGTACCACAGCCACTTCTGCTTTTGAAACAAAAGCAACTAAACAGCCTGAAGAAGTGTTGCTTAGTTGAAATAACACGGGAAAACCCGGCTGTGCAGAAACTACAGTTGCAGCGGGGAAAAACCCATTCACAAAACTGATTTTTTAAACAACATTCTGTAAATTATAGCAAAACTTCAAAGAAGGGAGAATAAGATGTTGAGTATTAACACAAGAAAAGCATTAAAAATTAGACACATACACAAATGCACACACGTTTTGAACTAAATATAATTTCATTTTAAGTTTCTCCTTAGGGAAGAAGGTTTGCTTCTAGTAAACTCACCTCCGTGTTCTAGAAATACTCGAACACATCTTTCCTTTCCTCTTGCTGCAGAGAAATGAAGCAGGGTCCAGCCATTAGCATCTCGGCCATTTGGAGAATAGCCTTGTTCTAACATCTTTCGTACCGTGTGGACATCCCCAGCAGCCACTGCAGCCTGAATCTGCAATTCTTCCTGGAGTTCAGGATTCCTTCGACAATGGTGGTGTAACATCCTAGCGGAGTCCACTTTTTACAAAGGATTCATTAGGTTATAGGTATCAGCCTTTAAGGGAAGGTAGAATACGTGAAACTTAGAATACTTGGCTCCTGATACTGTGTCCATTAAACATCACAGAATCTGTCATTTCCTAAGTTGGTAACCCTAGTAATGATAGTTCATACAACTATTTACCATATAGTTAAGACCAAAACTTAGCTGGGCTCGGTGGCTCAGCCGGTAATCCCACGCCTTGGGAGGCTGAGGTGAGTGGATTGCCTGAGCCTGCGGGTTCGAGACCCACCTGGGCAACTTGGTGAGACCTCATCTCTACAATAAAAATCAAAAAATTAGCCGGATGTGGTAGTGCATGCCTGTAGTTCCAGCTACTTGGAAGGCTGAGGCGGAAGGATCACTGGAGCCCAGCAGGTTGAGGCTGCAGTGGCCGGAAGCGGCCACTGCACTCCAGTCTGGGCAACAGAGTGAGATTCCAACTCAAAAAAAAAAGACCAAAACTTTCAGTAATTTCCCTAAGATTATAAACAATCGCTAAAGGAACACCAGGCATAAAATCCTAAATTCCTGAAGCAGAAAATTTCTTCTGTAGCCTTTTGAAAACTCAAAGCAAACAATCTGTGAACAAAACGGCATTATTTTTAGGTAAAAGGGGAAATGGCAGCTACATGGTGGGAGATGCCAGAAAAGTCAGATTAGCAACTGTCTGAGGATTTAAGCTAGACACCACTGAAAGATCCTATCACAAATCAGAGTTAGAAAATATGGAGCAGGGAGGGGAGAGCACATCACATCCATAAGGGTACCTGATCTCAAATCAGGTGAAGTAGGGAACAATGGAAGGCCCAAACTTCACTTGTACAATGACCACTTGTACACCTAAATCTGAATTGCACTCCACATCTTTAAAATAAAACATTGGAGCATCAAATGCACAATCCATATACTGTGGAGACTGAAGACATTTATGAAAAGCGGCTTTTAAAAAGCGGAAAGCTTCACACTGCTTCGCTAAAGTATTTCAGCAGTATTTTATCTCTATCCCTCAATAAGGAAGGTTGTAAAAGTGGGCCAGTTTAAGTAGATTCGAGTAAAATGCTATGATTATATTTCTCTTCCTTTTGCTTGTTTCTCTTGTTACTCTCCCCACTTTATGCTATTTGATACATGATTTAATACTTTTTCTGCCACATTTTCTTCTAAATTTTTCTAATCTGTTTTCTGGAAATTTTACTCTATAAATACTCAAAGTATCAAGATCAGACAATATATTTTAGAATTCTGTGAATCTAAACAATTTCATGATTAAACACATGATAAAATTATTTTAAAAGAAAAGAAGTCCAATGAATTCCAATATTCTCTAGTAGGTAACAAAAGAGGTGTGTCTTCAAATCCAACATAAAATGAGATCTTCACACAATCAGAATAGCCCAAAATGAAAACATGAAAAATTATCTCTTATGTGTAACTTTTATGTCACATCTTATATGTGTGTGTATATCTTATATGAGTGTGGACATAAACTTTTTTATTGTGTTATTAAGCTTTTAAGAACATCCAGAAACCTAAACTAACAAGCTTCTAGAAAGTCATTCCAACTGGACTAATTTGAAAGAATAGACTCCTCTCTTAATTAGTAGTTTCCATTTCTAAAAATACTGTGATAAAGCCTAGGCAACATAGTGAGACCTCATCTCTATAAAAAATCAAAACATTAGCTGGGTGTGGTGGCCTGTGCTGTAGTCTCAGCTACTTGGGAGGCTAAAGTGGAAGGACTGCCTGAGCCCAGGAGGTCAAGGCTGCAGTGAGCTGTGATTGTGCCACTGCACTCCAGAGTGAGACCCTGACTCGAAAAAACAAAAAAGTCCTTTAAAGACATTTCGTTCTTCTCATATATAGGCTAGACATCTCAGGATAATCTTGCTACCAATAATAATTTATTTTGCAAAATTTCTCATTGTAGACTGTACAAAGGTAAACTTAAGCATGCCTAAGATCGAATTATCACAGCTTTAGAATGCAAATATTCTATGTTATTTTATACATAGACCATAACACATAGAATATCGAATTTTATACATATATACTCAAAAGTATCATGACTAAGTGATGTAATTTGAAAATACCAAGCTACTACTACAAATAGCTATTTCCTCAGAGAAAATTGAGAAATGAGAGATTTCTTTACAACCTGTTTTCTTACCAAACAAAACTTCTCTTTATTTCTTCACTTAATTACTTACTAGAAATGTCTTCTCTTAGAAATTTTAAGATGAGAATCCTATCAGAATAGGTTTTTTGCTTATCCTCAGCATTACGAGAAAATGTTAAAGATCATCAGAAGGAATTAATGGAAACGAATACTATATGCTCACATTGTCTTTGAACAGATTTTCTTTTTAATAGGATGATTATGTTGGCACTTAAATGAAGTCTACCATGCAAGAAAAAAACTGAAATAATATCAAAACAAACCTGGTTTTTCTTTTAGCGAGTGGTGTATTTAGTATACATTAGCTGATTTTAAAAGTTAAAGTTAAATAGATTTTACCCCAACACGGCACAGATGACCGATGACCCTGAGTCATCTTACCTTACAGAAGAGTGCCCCTTTTCCTGATATATGGATTGCCTATTAACCATTGTGCACATACAGCATCATGGGGAGGGGGTTCAGAGTGGGTCCAGACTGCAGAGCAAAAAAACCTTCTTTACCTGAAAGCAAATAAAATAACAATCATAGGAAAATTCCTTAAAATAATAAAGAATTGGTTGGGCTCAGTGGCTCAGCCTGTAATTCCAGCACTTTGGGAAGCCGAGGCGAGCGGACTGCCTGAGACTGCAGGTTCAAGACCAGCCCGGGCAACTTGGTGAGACCTCGTCACTACAACAAATAAAAAATTAGTCAGGTGTGGTAGCGAGTGCCTATAGTTTCGGCTACTTGGAAGGTTAAGATAGAAGAATTGCCGGTGTCCAGCAGGTCGATGACGCTGGGGTGGCCGTGAGCATGCCACAGCACTCCAGCCTGGGCGACGGAGTGAAACTCCAACACAAAAATAATAATAATAATAAAGAATCAGCCGGGCTCGGTGGCTCAGCCTGTAATCCCGCGCCTTTGGGAGGCTGAGGTGAGTGGATTGCCTGAGCCCGTGGGTTCGATACCCGCCTGGGCCGCGAGACCTCATCTCTACAATAAATCAAAAAATCAGCCGGGCGTGGTAGCGCATGCCTGTAATTCTGGCTACTTGGAAGGCTGAAGCGAACGGATCACCGGAGCCCAGCAGGTCGAGGCTGCAGTGGCGGGGAGCGGCCACTGCACTCCAGTCTGGGCGACAGAGTGAGAG